GGTCACGAACGCGGAGCATTGGGGGGAGTTGCTCTACACGAACGCGACCCGTCGAACACGAATGCATAGCTTTAGCTAGGCTGGGTACGGGACCTGGGAAACTCTATGCAAACGTGAGCCCTGTCTCGCGAATGCGAAGGTAAGGCGGGCTAAACCTTCGCGAACGCGTAAAGCCTCCCGCGATCGCGTAAGTCCTTAGGAGGTTGTTCTTCGCGAACGCGACAGTGTTCACGCGATCGCGATAAATACTGTCGCCCAGCACTTTAAACAAAATCAAAAACGGTATTTAGCCATTATTTCACATTTTCAAGTACCAAACGGGCTAAAGGCGATTTTCAAGAGATATTTGCTTCCCCAAAGTATTGGTAAGTTATTCTAAACTATTTTCTTTCAATTACCCATTTTATTTCATAAATTTTCAACCTAAAATCTAGAGTTTTCATAGTAAAATTGGGGGTTTGGGTAGAAACTAGGGATTTCGAAAATTTGGGAATTTAGACCTCAAATAGAGGTCGGATTTCAAAACCAATTATATATCCGGGCTCGGGGGTGAATGGGTAAATGAATTTTGGTCTGAACCTCGGGTTTTTACCAAGCGGGCCGGGGTCAATTTTTGACTTTTGGAGAAAAATTTAAAAAATCTAAATTTATACAATGTAATTGATTCCTTTAGCAATATTTGATATTATTGAATCATTTTTGAATAGATACGAGTGGTTTGGAGATGGATTCTAGAGAAAAAGTTGTGATTGAGTATTGAGTAGCCTTCGAAGCGAGGTAAGTATTGTGGTTAGCCCTAACTTGAGGGAATTAGGAACCTCAGATTATTTGCTATGTGAAATTCATGTGAGTGGCGTATATGTGAGATGACGAGTACTTATACGCAACCAATTTACCTGTTTTTCCTATTTTCCATGTTTTCTCCCATATTTCTCATATTGTCTCTTTCTTATACCTAATTGCTACGTATTTAGACTAGTGTTATTGAAACAATCGTTCTTATCATGTTTACAGATTTTCTGGTGATAACTGAGTATTTATTTCAAAGTTGAGATTGATATTGTGGAACCAAATGTTGAAGTAAGGCTTGTACTTGTTATTCTATATTTCTGTTGTTAATCGTTAATTGCATTATGGTAAGGGAGAGTGTTAATGCACGAAGGGTGATGTCGTGTCATATTGTGAGTGTTAATGCACGAAGGGTGATGTCGTGTCATATTGTGAGTGTTAATGCACGAAGGGTGATATCGTGCCATGTTGTGAGTGTTAATGCACGAAGGGTGATGCCGTGCCATATTGTGAGTGTTAATACACGAAGGGTGATGCTGTGCCATATTGTAAGAGTTAATGCACGAAGGGTGATGCCGTGATGTTTCTATTGATGTTATGGTGAGGCTGGGAGTAAAAGCACGAAGGGTGATACCGTGCATTTTTCTTTTACTGTATTCGCTGTTCCTGTTGATTCATAGTATATTGGTTGTTCCAGTTATCATTCTGCTGTAGTTCTTTACCACGTATTTCCCTCAGCATGTTTTCCCCTTCCGATATTTTCTATTTAGCTCTTCATTATCGTTATTTATATATACACTGTTAAATCGTATAAGTTGATTTGTAGGTGCCTTGCCTTAGCCTCGTCACTACTTCGTCGAGGTTAGGCTCGACACTTACCAGTACATGGGGTCAGTTGTACTGATACTATACTCTGCACTTTCTGTGCAGATTTTGGTACCAGCTCGGGTTGATCGAGATTTTAGCTGTTGGACCGCTATCCGGAGACTCAAGGTAGATCTGTCTCAGTTCACAGACCTTAAAGTCCCCGTCTATCTTTTCTGTTTTACTATTTCTTTCATTCAAACAGTTGTATTTCTTCTACACTATTACTTGTAGTGAATTCTAGAATGCTCGTGAATTGTGACTCCAGATCCGGGTGGTAGTAATTAATGCAGTTTTTATATTATTTCGCACTCACTATATTTCACCTTAGCTAATTTGCTGTTATTTATTAAATGGAATAATGATTGGTTTAATGATTCTCTAACGTTGGCTTACCTAGCAAGTGAAATATTAGACGTCATCACGATCCCGACGGTAAAATTCCGGGGTCGTGACAATAGAGGTCAATCACGATATTCGTCAAAATTGCACGTCAAGTTGTTATCCTTGATAGCGGTACACATTTTCATCTTGAAATTCTGAATTCGCTTTGCACAGCACAAGAGATAAATTTACAAACGTGTTACAAATGTTTCTATGGAAATTGTCTTTTCATAGATGCTAAAAGTAGGAGGGAAGAAAAGCTACTAGCATGAAATAACGTTTTAATCAAGTGCACTCGAAAGTTATGTAGGTAAAACACAATGATCAAAAAGCAAAAAAGCAAAATTTATCTAAGACGTTAACGTCGTTTAATCTTTATTTTAGGGCACTAGATGTCACTTAGGTTAGATTTTTGTATGATTTACCTAATAATGTGCCTAACTTAATACTTTAAAAGAAAAAAAAACCACTTTCGTTCTATTCTCTTTTGGCATTTGGTTCTATCCGTTATACACTAGAATCTCCCTAAATTAATATTGCAGGACCATAAAATATTATTATTTTTGGAAGTATTATTTAATGAATAAATTAATATTTATTATTTTAAAAAGTATTTTCGAGATTCAATGAAGGTTAAGCTTGATTACATCAAAATCATTGTATCTTATTATATCAAAATCATTGTATCTTATTAATTTATGTATCATAATTATCGAATTAATATAAAAAATAAATTCATTATACATAAAGTACAGTGTATGATGTATGATTCATTGTAATATTTTCTTTTATTAAATAATTCATTGTAACGTTCATTGTTTATTCATTGTAATTAATGAAGCATTGTATTGTTCATTATTTCTTAATAATCAAATATTTCATTATATTTTTACTAAAAACATTCAATGTAAAAAAAATATTTAAGCAACATAGAAAATTTCTTCAAACCGTACCCAACAATGGCTTCTCATCTAAAAGGTGTCACAAAATCAACAATCACATATCAAATACGTAAAGCATTATGTGAGTACAAAAGAGGTCCTTCCACATGCACTCAAAAAGATTTGCAGTTGCGGCTTGATAAAAATTTTCATTTGAAAGTTAGTCAATGTACAATGTAACATACTTAAACGATCAGTTGAGTGTCTTTCGGCTAACTTAGGAAAAGGAAGGGATATCAAGCGGTACAAGCTAGTAAAATTTTCAGATAAGGAGAAGGTTGTTTATAAATGGTTTCTCCAATACCAGGACCGTAAGAATACAATAAAACTTTTATATCCTCAACAAGATTTTGAGCACAACTTTTCTCAAGGTTGGCTTGAGAAATTCAAGTTAAGATATGATATCAAGTCATTTCGTCGTTTCGGAGAGAGTGGTTCGGTTGATATACAAGACATGGAGACGAAATTAGAGTCAATAAGGGAAAAAATAGACCAGTTCCCTATGAAAAATATTTTTAATATGGATGAAACTTGTTTGTTTTACAGGTTACAAGCTGTTCTTTTTCTTGCTACAAATCAACCTGAAGGAAAAAAACAGGACAAAGAAAAGCTCACGGTTGTTATTTGATGCAATGAGGATGGATCTAAAAAAAATTTCTTTAGGGATTATTAGAAAATATGCAAAGCCACATTACTTCAAGAATGTCAACATGAACAACTTGAACAGTCGCTTTCGTGCAAACAAAAGAGCATGGATGACAAGTGTGCCTTTTGATGAATATATTCGTTGGTTTGATCACAAAATGCATATTGAAGGACTACAAAATGTTGAGTTGCTTTTCTTGCCACCCAACATGACATAAAAAATTCAACCTTGTGATGCTGGGATAATAAGAGCTTTCAAAATGCATTATCGCAGTAGATTTTACCGTAGGATATTATAAGACTATGAGTTGGGACAAACTGATACAGGAAAGATTAATGTTTTGGATGCTATCAATCTTGCGATCGCGACTTGGACGACAAATGTTCAGCAAGAGACAATAGCAAATTATTTTCGACACTGCAAAATTCGTTCGGTGGATGAAGCCTCAAAGAATTTAAATGAACCTACTTGTGAAAACGACATTCATGAACTTGAGGTCATGATTAATGATCTCGGTTAGTGCAATAAAATGGATGCCAATAGCCTGTCGGATTATCCGGGTGAAAATGATACATGTTCAGAGGTCCAGAGCTTAGAAGAAATTATGAATACCATCGGAGAAAACAATGTTGATGATGAAGTTGAAGACGATACAATACCTTTGGAACTAATTATGCGTAAAAAAGCACTTATAATGTCTAGAACTCTTCACAATTTTTGGGTGCAGTTCGAGAAGACAACACCAGAATTTTTGGATGCAATAAGAAAAGTTAGAGATGAACTTCAACCATATTTAACTTTTAAGAAAAAAACAAAAAAACACTAGAATCATATTTCACTAGATTGTATTAGATATTTTTGTAATTTTAAAAAATCATTAATTTATAATATTAATGGGACCATATATTTATATAGTGATCTTCCGAAAATATATTATCTTATTATCTTATCGAAATCAGTATTTTTTTCACAAGTCCAAGTAGGGACCGGAGAAAAATATTATCTTAGAGAGTTTATTAATTTACCAAGTATTAATTTAGAAAGGTTCTACTGTATTTAATTTAATGGTATTCATTCGACTTGTCATGCCTCTTAGAAAAATAGTTAAAATATGCATAGTATACTATTTGTTTGAATAATTTAATAATGTAAATTAATTTGGGTTTTAAATAAAGGAAATTATGATTTTTGTTACTGAAAATAGTAAAACTAGAACACGCAATTTTTTTTCATTACGAAAGGCGTGTCAAAATGTAGAAAGCGGACATTTTCTTTTGATTGATTAAAAGCAAGTAGGAAATGACAGCACCTAAACGTTGTAAAGCATATATACCAAGCTCCAATATTAACCCATATTATTATTATTATTATTAAACAATTAATTAGAAGTATAATTAGAACTCGACTATTCTCCCCCGCTCCTTTTGCATAATTACAACTTTGCCCCGAGAATAATCTATTTTCCAGCTCACTATTCGCAATATATCTCGTAATTTTATCTTTCTACAAGGGCATTTTCTTTCCATTTTCTACACTCCTACATTTTCAGCACCGCCCCGCTCTCCTCCCTCTCCCGCCACCTCGCCGCTCTCTGTCTCCCGATTCTCCAGTATCACACACATAAATATAAACTGAAACGCGTGTAACACACGTCAATACGTCGGCGTTTTGTTATTTGTACCATGCCGGAGATAGAAAGGCTGAGAACAAGGCATAACCGACCGGCGGCGATTCGAGAACCAGCAAAAGCCAGAGTACCACTGAGACTCCTGCTTCGAGTAGCTTCAGTAGCCGGTGGAATTCAATTCGGCTGGGCACTACAATTATCACTCCTCACACCTTACGTGCAAGAGCTCGGAATACCGCATGCTTGGGCAAGCATAATATGGTTATGTGGACCGCTTTCAGGTTTACTGGTTCAGCCATTAGTAGGTCATATGAGTGACAAGTGCACCAGTCGGTTTGGTCGCCGGCGTCCGTTTATTGTCGCCGGAGCAGTGTCGATCATGATTGCGGTGCTGATCATCGGTTTCTCCGCTGATATTGGCTGGTTTTTAGGTGATCGAGGTGAAATAAAAGTCCGAGCTATAGCGGCGTTTATTGTAGGGTTTTGGCTTCTCGATGTTGCTAATAATATGACTCAAGGTCCTTGCAGAGCTCTTCTAGCTGATCTTACCAGTAAGCTTTTCAGTTCAATTTTACAGATTAATATTTAAATATGTATATTTATTGCTTGTGAATTACTCTGTTTTTCTGCATATTTTTGATGCATTTGTTAAGTGCTTTCTAAGGAAGATGAAGCTTAAAACATCTCCTTTAATTTTACTTTTTTCTTTGAATAAAGTATTTTTTCTAAAGTAGCGTTTCCTGTTCATATGGAATAAATAGCTTTCTTCATGGTATGATTTTAAAAAATGGAAACGCGATAGATACTTTTTTTGAAGGTAAAGTTAAACGTATTAGGCACTCGTTTAACTCAAATGGACAATGATGCCCTTGGGCCGAATGATGCGGGTGGGACCCTCTGAATTCTGTTTCGTTCGGCTAAATGGCTGATGTACGCCTATTGAGTTGAGTAGTTAAGGCATCGGGAATATAATTGCACTTTACTCTTCTGCATACGCATCTCTATATATATATATATATATATATATATATATATATATATATAACGTACTGTAGAGGAGTCCGGAATTAAAATGTGGTTCTTTTGGACTCAAAGAACCAAAATGTGTGGAAACTGGTGACCATAATATATATAACGCCCTTTTATAAGGTGCTATACCTAAACGGCCGTTTGCCCAGTTAAGTATAACGTCCTTATTTAAGGCGTTATATATAACGCCCTAACTTACCGCGCTATGTATATATTATGTGGCTCACCAATAATTCTTCTGGGTTTAACTGACATAACAATAATTCAACTGGGTATAGCGCCCATATTTAAGGCGCTATACCTCAAATAATTGTACCCCGGGACTGGTTTTTGCCTTATTTAAAGAGGTTAAGGATTTTGTAAAAATTCATTCATAAACTACAACGACAACTTGCGGCAGTGCAGGAGAAACCACATTTTGGTTCTTTGAGTATAGTATTTTATCTTTATGCTTTCCGTATCATGTATTTTCATTAGTTTTACCGAATTTAAATTATGTTAAGTTGTTATGTTTGTTTTTGTGTTGTAGTATTAAAATAACAAAGAACCCGAGAAATAAAAACATAATGCGCATATAATGTAAACCATAAATAATGTTGCTATTATTTACTGAATGTCATATGTACATAAAATAAAAAAAAGTCAATGTGTCCCGCAACCTGTACGCTTTAAAGCTGCCACTGGCCTGAGGTGCATCCCATCCAGCCCGGCTACACTATTAGGATCATTCTCATCACGTCGCCTCTTTATCGGAGGATGCGCTGCAACATGATCATCAGTAAGGCTGGCAGGCTCGGTAGAAGGGGTCGTCGGTCCAGCAGTAACCTACAGAATAATAATATATTTTAGTATATGAAATATATATTAGTAATGTACGTGTTAGCTAAAAAAATTTAAATTGTCTTACCATGGTCTCGGCGGGCTCCTGAATATAATCATCCGTCTCAGGCATGTCAGTATCGCACAAAGTGGCCTCCTTGACGGGCGAGGATGATGCCTTAAAAAAAAACAACGCTTTAGATATTTATGACTAATCAATGAGATAAAAACAAATATAAATAATAGTAATACAAACTAACCAAATCATGTGAAAGATCCCTCGATGATGAGCCATAACTCAGTCGGCGCCCACTATCCACATCTCGTGTCGGACGATCATCAGGAACCGTCGATGGCTCTGGAAGGCAAGGAAAATACTGATCCCACTCCTGTCGCGTAATGGCCGTGCTCGCGATCAACAATGGAGCTGACGTGGTCATCTGCGAAGTCCCCGGAGTAAGCTGAAGGCTGAATGACAGCATATCTCTAGGAGCATGGTTTGGCTCATGGTGGTCACCCGGCTGATCAACTCCAACATCCTCAACAGGTGCCTCAACACCCCCTTGCTGGGGACCACGTCCTCGCCGACCCCCACGACCTCGTGGTACACCCCTACCTCTCTGGGCACGCCTGCCACGTCGACCACGTTCAGGCTCCACTGGTGACCCACGATGGTACTGCTTTGGCGGCACATACTCAGCCTCGTATCCTAAGCGCTCATCATCTCGGGCTCGCCTCAATGTCCGGGAAGCCAGATCTGTAACCTGCCGGCCATACTCGTGCAAAGCGGCCGCTCCCTCTCCGGTATGCTGTTGCATCTGCAGTCCCAACTGGTAGAACAGATGTAGGCCAATAGCCTGCACAACATGTAAA